AGTAATTTAATTTATAAATTCACCTTTTGAGTAATTTAGACGATAAACTATTAGAAAAAATGATCGTTTATTAATCTACATCTCATTGAAAAGTAATTTAATTTAATTTATAAGTTCGCTTTTCGACGAGATGTAGAAAATTTATAAATAAATAGAGAATACGAGACAATGAGAAGACATTGAATTTATAATTATAGTTTATCTTTTATCTTGTAGTATTGTGACAAAACGTAATATTCTTCTATCGAAATATTTAATCTTCTCAATTATATGAAAATGCTGTTAGCTAGTAGAATCTACAAGTAAAGGTATAGTATTACTGTTACGCGGCTTCAAGTAGAATGAGAGCCGAACCGTATCGTGTCAGACTATCCAGCTCTCATTGCACACGTATAAATAAGAAACGCTCACTCGTGAATTCAACTCCTAATTTTATTACGAGAAGCTCGTGAATTTTAATTTCGTTTCGTGCAATAAAGTTTCCAACATATTCTTCCGCGCGTATTTTCTCCCCGTAATTTTTTCAGTCATCGGCGAAACGAGGTTATAATGCAACGTGTGCGTACGTGGGCTTCGGCCTCGTGTGCGCATAACCGCGCGACGTTAAACTAGAAGTTTCGCACGTAAAAATCAAAAACTAACACGAAAACTCATGAAACTCCGGTTTGATGGAACATATCCTGACGATAGGAACTTAGGCTCTGTATACTTTCAAAGTAGTTCGTTGCTTCCACGCGCTGCGAATGCATAGGAGGGAAAAAGCGAAACGAACAACAAAACACTAAAGTTGAATTTATTGCAGAAATAAATATTGGCGATGAAATTTCTCTTGAATAATTTGTTAAAATTCTCGGTCGCCAAAATATTACTGAACTTTATTAAATCCACCGTAGCGATAAGTTTCTTTGAATTGTATTAAATTTGTCACAATAGTAAATGCTTTCGAATTTTATTAAATATCCAAATAAATTCCCAGGTCTCTAACCGAATATAATAATAAATCTTCTAAAATTTCACAATGTTCAAAGGAATTAATAAATTAACATTCATAAAGAAATTTTATATAATTTTTTTATATGAAAAAATATATATAACAGTTATACATATATAATTATACATATATAATTTTATATAATATAATAGTTATATAATAAGTTATATAATAGTTATACATACATAATTTTATATAACAGTTATACATATATAATTTAATATCGCGTTATTAAATTAACAATGTGTTTAATTAATTTAATTAACAAGCAGTTACTACGTGACGTGAAGAACGACGCGCGACACTGTTTCAGCGCCACAAATATCACCTTTTCAATGGAAGACAGCGCGAAACACTCGCTTGTAGGATGTTAATAATCCAGAGAGTAAGGCTCTTTTAAAACAAATCCGGCGACATTCTATTGTTGAGCCAGCGTGCATACGTATGTGACGAAAGCGAGAAATGTTGTACATTGCTCTTATGCTGTACGCGAGCAAGTAAATAGAAAACAATGCCACTTTGCACCCGTTATATTTATATTTTCCAGTTGTTTCTATCTTTCTTTCTTTCCTCTCTTTTCTCTCTTCCCTGTCTCTTTCTCTCACTCTGTCGTTACTCGAGTTGTTCGTTAATTATTTTATAATTACATTCCTCAGAATTTCAGTACAATACACTTTGTCATGAAAGCCAAATGTAATGTACACATTACCCGGCTTACTGCGTGGCGTTATTAAATTTAGAAAATGAGCGGAACATACGTGAAACTCATTATCTGAACGTGTCGTATGTAAATGGGGACACGTTGAGTGGAATAATGTTTAGCGGTGTGCAGCATTTGAAAAATAACCTAACCGAATTTCGCTTGGAGTGAAATCACTTTTGGTATTTCGTTATAAATTGCTGTTCTGAATTAGAAATGTTCTGCGTACTGAATACTTTAGCTGTTTACTTTGCCATTCGAAGTAAATGGCACAAATATAAATAACAATATCCTCTACCTGGCAGAAACAGCTAGTACTCTTGTTTATTCTACTATGAAATAGTAAAGAGTGTTTGACGAATAATATTAGATTTTCTTGTTTCAAAGAAAACTGCAATAAAATTTCTCGTCAAAGTTTTATTAGAGCAGTTAAGTAAAATCTTAAGCTATGAATTTTGAATAGAACGAATCTATCATAAATCCTTCCAAAGGCAAAATCCTAAAAATACTTTCTGCTTCAAAATTTTCTCCGCGATTTCACGACAAAACACTTTCAATCAAGTAAAAAAATATTAATTTTCACTTTCAACTGTCGTATTAAAATTTTCTCCAAAATTCTGCAACATAATACCTCCGATTAATATACAATACAAAATACCAATTTTACTTCAACCAGTCTCCAAAATTCCACAAAACAATTCGTATTACAGTCAAATACGAAATATTGATTTTTACTTCAACCGCTGTCTCAATATTTTCTCCAAAATTCCACGACGCAGTTCTTTTTTAATCGAATATAAAATACTAAATAAATTTTCGCCTCAGCTGTATCAACATTTTTTTCCAAAATTCCACTCGTACGATCCTTCCGCTCAATTCGAAACAGTCGTCTCGACTGGCAGAGGTCGTCGACATTGCACGCTCATTACCGATTTTGATAGCAGCTTCTTAACACAGTGACAGCGATCAGAGATGGTACAAAAGGGGAAATTAACGATCACAGCGGAGAATATTTAACGCAGCGTTAGGTGGCAGCCGCGGTATCGCGTGCTCTTGCTGGTGCACACGTCAAACAATAGACTTGCCGAGTAAGCCGCTCGTAGGCGCGACGATACATACACAGGGCCCACGCCTCCTCGAAGATGGCTGAGATGCTTGCCACGGGATGTCCCGGCTATTATATCGGTGATTATATCGGTGGATGCTGATAGCGAGGAAAATGGAAGCCCCGCGTCAGCATTCGTGGCCCGTGCTCTTCAACGGTGTTGTTCGACCTCTTCAACGTCGCCGCCAGTCGAACAATGCCAGCCGCGGGTATTCGCCATTTCCGCCAAGTATCGTCGACCAATTTACTCTGCGGAACGAGATGAAAAATAAAGGAGAAGCGGTTGGGGGGGGGGGGGAGTACAGTGAATCACGAAAGTATTTGAACATTTATCGGAGAAACATTTTACGCGTGTGGAGAATGGAAAATGGTTTTAAAATTTCATAGCTTTTGTAACGAGAAGATGGAGGATCTTTGTGTAGGAAATTTGAAGGTTTGCACACACACGAACGGAAGTGGAAAATTTATTAAAAACAGTTGACAGATGAAACAAATTTCTTTTCTTACAACCATTCTCGTAGAAAATATAAAAACTTGTAAACAACTCGATACCATTCAATATGATAGTAGAATCTTGACTCTTGTTCTTTGAATTTTTTTTCGATTTTCGACATTGTTGAAGGTGAATCTATCTAAATCGTAAATATTCTCATATTTTGTAATATGTACTTTTAGTTGTTTCATCGACATAAAATTTGGAAATGTTTCATAAAACGCGCAAGAGAAGACAAAATACATTCAAATATTTTCGTGAGCCTCTTAAAAAGAAATTAGATCGAGGTCAGGCTTGACATTGATTCATACTTATAGAGAGATATATAAAGGAGCGATTAAATTGAGCGATCGTGCAAGTATCGATGGTAATTAAGTGGCACGGCGAGATTGCGAACTGCGGGTATTTAATGCATTCATCGTCGAGGACGTTTTTGAATATTAGTTGAAATCGATTCAGCTTTGTGCGGTGTTCCAAAGAGTTTAAAGATAAAGTACGCGTAACTTGATTTAATGAGACTAGTGTTGTGGATCTGGGTTAAGTGGGTAATTCTCCCAAGCTCTTAAGCAATGAAATTCATATTTTCTGCTCTCGGCAACAAAACGAAATAATAAAAATAGCTTGACAATCGCTTTCGAAAATTGATGCGATTTAAATCGACGATCGGGATAAAGTAGAATTCTGTTTACGCGTGTCAATTTATCAGAAGATGAGAGAAATCATAGTTATATATTTTTATTCATACAATTATTCATGATGTAACTCATTCTAGTTACTAGTTAGAATAAAAATTATTTTGAGAAATTTGATGTAGTAAATAGAAAAAGATAGCAATATCTGTATAAAAATATATAAAATCCAGAGTATTTGTTATAATATTCAATGAGAAAATTCTCCTAGATTATCTAATTTCTGTTAATTTCTGTAAAACTATAAATTATAATATATAAAATATATATGTATTTATATAATTATAATATATAAATGTGTAATAAAATAAAAATGTATAATGTAAATAATACACAATAATACATAATAGAAATGTATAATATAAATTGGCATAAATATTTGCATTCTAATAATGACACAATCCCCGAGACAAGTGGAGTCCAATAAATTGAAAATTCCCGGGTAATCCCGAAGAGTGGGTCACCGTTTTAAATTTCTTGTCATCTTGATGAGTATGTTCGTCTAATTATAGGAAAATTAGATCGTGCAATCGTGGAAACACGATTTTGCTAAAAGAAAAAAAAGCTTAATAATTTATTCCATCGTGAAACTCTTGAGCGAGATGAAATATGCATCATCGCGATTGCATTAATCGCGGCAAAGAAAAACGCGAGAAGACGGGAGATCGTGCAAAATATGATATTTAACGTACTCGAGAGGGGGCCTGAAGTTGACACGTCCGACCAAACACTCTCCAGGTGACGCGTGATTGACGTTTTCGGGTAGTAATAAGCCGTACGTGCCAGAAGCATGGCGGCGACACAAGAGTCGCAGCGAAATGCGATTACTTCGCGAAATATCAACGTCTTATTTTTACTATCATTTTTTTCTCTCCCTATCTGACCTGCTCGATTTTCGTATTTTCTTTTTTCTTTTTTTTTTCCCCTCCCTCTCTTTCGACTGTTCTTCCTTCTCGCATCGATTTCGATGAGACACATCGACATCGTTAACGCGCTTATCGACTCGCGCTTTTTGATTTCAGGTTATTGACATTCTGCTATCTGGCGGCTCTGAACTGCTGGTTACTACTGTGCCCGGCGACGCTGTCTCACGATTGGCAGATGGGATCGGTTCCTTTGGTCGCCTCGCTGGCGGATACCAGAAATCTGGCCACCTGTCTATTCTTCGGTGGCTGCCTGATCCTCACTTACAAAGCGTTCACGGATTTCGAGGTAAGCGCAACGAATGACGAATGAAATTTACCGTGGGTTGCGCAAATTGAAGGCGAGCGGTGACGTGACGTGAGATATGTACACCGGCGTGGAAAATCGAATTAAAGAATAGCGCGGCTTTGTAATTCTATATTATATTCTTTGTGATTTTTTTATTATATTCTTTATTTGATTTATATATTGTGTTCTTTCTGGAAGTCAGTTTTCCCTACAGTTTCGCGAACGTTTACTTTGAAAGTTGTGTAGATTCATTTTTCTTTTTCTTTTTTTTTTTTTTTTAGGAAACTGAGACTTATATATACCTTTAACTATAAGCAATCATAGATATTTTTTAAATTAACAGGTTCTTTTTGTTTTTAGAAAGATTTTCTCAATATATATTTATATATTTCGTATAAAAAAAATATCTGTTTTTGTGCAACATTTATAGAAAGAATTGTTGCATTTAGAAACACTTTTGAATAGTGTTTTGATAGAACAGATACTTCAGGACCTACGTAATAAAAGTTTCATGGGATCAAGTTATTTCAGAACATTTACTGAACAATTCATTTTTATATTCATTGAGTAATATTCAGTGTTAGTATTTGCTACAAATATTGGGAATATTTTTAATACTGATGAACAAATTTTTAATTTTATAAGTTTATTTTATAAATTCTGTCTGAAAATTTTACTTTTAAAGACATTTATTTATCTGTTCTGAATAGGACTTCTAATGTAAGAATATTTCAAAAAAGTTCTGCGACCCATATTTTAAATAGAATCCATTTGAAACTTCCTCGATTTCTGAAATTTATGATTTAAAACTTAAAATATTCGTTCATTTTAATGGAAATGCATAACTGATGCAAATGTAAACACTTCAATATTTCAAAATAAAAGAAAAAGGATTTACACATGAATTTTCAAAATAAATAGTCCAAATGACTACTCGTACTTACACATCACCGCAGAAAACGATTTTGAATTCTTTTAGCATCACTCAATAAACCTTCAAATTTATCGATGCTAAAATCGAAAAACTTTGCAAAGTGAATACAAAATATTAAGTGATAATTTCATACAGATGAGTGTACTTTTTCGAGACATTCGTAGTTTTCTTAAAATAATTAATCAGGTGTATTGTTTTTCAAAATATACATCGTCAAGTTAAATTAACAGACACAAAAACCAAAATTAAATTGACATTAAATTACGATTTCCGGATGATGTAGATAGACTTTTGTAACCAAGCAAAGTAACCAGCCTGATCAAAAATTTAGCAACAAATTAGCAATGGAGTAAGCCAAGAAATTAAGCAATAATGGAGTATTTCAAACCATATAATCAAAACAAGATAATTGACTAAATATTTCATTAGTGGACAGAAAATTTGAAAATATTCAAACATTTACCACGTTCCTGCAAAACGTATTTCCCTTCACAAAGTTTTATGCCCCTCGTAATATTAAACTGCACTAAAAACGTATACATACGTTACGAAAATCTCTGCAAAGGAATACCACGACGTTTATTTACTAGCTACATAGAACGTGCACGACCGAGCTATGTCAACTAAATTTAATATCACATATACCCTCATATAACAAACCTTTTATAATACATTTATAATAATTCCCCATAAAAACGTAGTCCCTCGCCGCTCCTCTATCTTCGTAGGAACTCGTTAAAATTTCCACAACGCGTAAACCTGAAACCTCCACGACGATCGAATCCAATTTTTTCGCCGGCTGTTTGCAACGGACGTGTACCGTCACTGGACCGTTTCGCTATCAGCTGTTTCTCTAATACCTCTTGAAGGGCCGCGTAATGAAATTACATCGCTCTGGTCCCGTGGCTCGGGCGATTAATAGCAAAATTAATAACTTTCTGCGTCAAGTTCCACGAAACGTCGGCTCGCGTTTTCTGGCCGTGAACCGTGGGTTCTGCGAAAAGAAAAGTTAGCTAATTGAACCACTCATCGGAGTAACAGCCCAGCCAACATGGCCACGCGCACGTAACAACAAGCAAAGTTAAATGGCCAGCCAGTTATCGTCCGCAAGAAGTCCATTTCGTCGCTGAACGTTTCGTCCCTGAAATGCAACGAACCGCAAAGTTTCGTCGCCGATGGTCCCTACGGACGAGCCCGGCCTATGACGAAGTTGTGCCTGAAAAGATGGCAGTTAATTTGATAAAGAGAAGTTCTCAAGGAGCACTGGGATATTTAAACGATGTTCAACATCATCGATCGTTCAGCCAACGAGTGTTTCTATAACTTTAAATCGATAATTGTAGGGTTAAGGGTACGTAACATCAGAAATTTCTAAAACCATTTGAAAATCACTTGGAAATCTTCAAGCTAGACGCGCGATAAAATTAGTCAGTCTCATGCGTAGTCAAAGGATTGTGAGTGCAACAGGATAGTTTTCAGAAGATAACTTTCTGTGCCTAGAAATGCCATTCCTCGAGTCATTCTCGTAAGCGACGATGAGAAATTTTCCCCCATACTTCTTGATTGATTTGAACACATCCTCTACGACTCGTCAGAATCCCTTAGAAAAGATAATCCAAGACTCGTTGCAAGGGAGGACTTTGAGGAAACCAGATGGAAGTTAATAATATTCAATAGCAGAAGTTAACAATATTTTTCAGAATATTATTCAACTCATTAATTATCAGTAATTTTTAACATTTCGATTCAGTCAAGAATCTAAAAGAAGCCATCAGGCTTGTTACACAATAAAAATCGTCTACATCAACCATAATTCATTTCCCACGTCAGTGGCTGGTCTTTCGAAGGGATATAGTACCAGTCCCTGACAATACTAATTAAAAGAGATTCTCACCAGCCACGAGTATTCGCACCGTATCGATCCGACGAACTAGATCCAGTCGCAGCCGCGATTGCCGTCGTTTCACCCGTCAAACGATCAGTTCAGATCCAGTTCAGCCCCGAGAACCTCGAAGAAAGTTTCGCTGGATAACGCGAGCGAATGGAATACATATGCCTGGATAGGTTCGAAGGAAACCACGGTCAGCTTTCGGTTTTCTGGGTCATTCGTCGGTAACGTAGCGTTCGGGTGAGCGTTCACCGTAATGACCCTCTTTAAGCCACAGCCAGCAGAGCCACTTTCCTCGTGGAAAGAGGCCCGTATCTGTGTGTGGTTTTAACTTCGTCTTACTCTCCAACCCTCTCCCCCCTCCCCCTCCCCCGAGTTTTCCATTGTGTAATACGGCACGTCCACGTCGGCGTTTGCCAAGAGAATGGCAGTTAGAAACTAGGCGCGATCGAGGCGTTGCGTGGTGTTGGAGAGCGACGTTGATGGAACCCAGTAGCAGCAGAAGGAGGAGGATGGCTCCTTCGGGGAACGAGGCCTTGTCCTCTTTCGTCGTTATCGTGATAATCTTTGTGCCGAACATCCGATTTGAGGGACGTTTCTGTAATAATGCCTCTCGGCATTGTTCTCGATGCTGTATTGTCTGGATTCAGCGCGCATCTTTGACATACTTTCCTGCCAAGACACCGACTGCTGGGCGCTTCGTGGTTGGAATACGAAGATCGTTTTTCGGGGGACGTTATCGCGGGTGATTCTCGCTTGATCGACGAATGGATTTCAGCGGGAAATGGATTTTTCTCGCTCTCGTTTTCGACGAATATTCGAGTCAAAAATTATTACGCTCGTTATTAATTATAACGTCGCGCGCATTGCGCGAGTTTAGAACGCTCTGTCAGTTTGGATAAAATTATGTTTATTGTTGTTTAAGTCGTATCTGATTGAATCGATTCGCGATTTATCGTGTCTGTTTATTTTTTAAATTGACTTTAGACATTAGAATACACGTTAATTTCAAGCTGTATGCAATATATTTATATCGGCTTCTGATCGGTGTAAATTCAGTTTTCTCTTTGAAATTATTTTTTAAATTTGCTTTCATCTTAAATTCATTTTAATTCTTGATTTTAATGTGGGAATTAACGATTCTTTTTAAACAAGCGAGTGAATAGTGGGAAAGATCGTGCTAGCGATTTTACCTATATCTCAGATAAAATTTAACACTGATGGAATAAAATAATTGATAAAAATTAAATTCGAAAAAAAAAATTGATTCATAATATAAATACAAATTGTACCTCAGTAGGAAGGGAAATTGTTCTTCTTATTTCACTATCACGGACGATACGAATTTATGAAATTTATTCACTCTCACAATCACGGAATTAAAACTCTCTCTGGTGCGTTTGATCATTCACTTGTATATCTATAAATTTTTGGTGAACTCGTTCGCCGAATTTATATAAATACAAACACATACAACGCGCAGAGAAACGATCGGTTGTCCCGCGTGTTAAATTTACCTGCGATGTTAAACCGGCATTTTATAAAATACACTGTACGCGGAGCCAGTACCGCAGCATGTTAAATACGAGTAAAATATATAGGAGCAACAATTTTATCACTGGGAATCGTTAAATGTTCCATTGTTGATTTTTCCCCTCCAGAAAAATGAGGTCAGCGATCCGATCCGATCTACCGGTTTTTACAAATTCCCTCGCAAGTATAAATTCACCGTGTAGTTGTTTCCGCTGCAAAGTACGATTTATGCCCTCGGTTAATCTTTCCGTGCGAAAGGGAATATTTTTGAGAAAAGATATCGCGCGAACGTGACGGAACATTGACGAAAAACAACATTAGGAGGGAAGCTACTTTCCAACAAAAGACGCATTCAGATCGTAAACGGCGAATAAAATATCATAAAATTGAAGGGAAACTCGAATTCACGAAACACCGTATTGTAATTAAAAGAATTGTTGCCCGCGACAGTTTCAATAAATTGTAAACTCTCCATTTGAAATATTTCAAAACATTCAAAGTGAAAATGAAATTTTTAACCATGGACCAAAGGTAGAGCGTCACGATCGACGATAATACGAAAGAATTTACGTGAAAACGCGAAAGATATACAATGAGAACGTGAAAGAATTATAAAACATATAGGAATGAAGGTGGAACGAGAAT